CATAACTCAAAGTTATAAACAGAAGTATATATATACATCCCCTCCCCCCTTTTTTATGTATATATATATATATATATATATATGTGTGTGTGTGTGTGTGTATGTATGTATAAATTTTACTTTCGAAGATCGTGCGTGACTGCAAACACGTAATACTTCAAACATAATAATGTTTTCTCGTACACCTTGTATACGTCTATCTGTGTATCTGTATGTTTGTGTATGTGTGTGTACATAGAAAATAGTTTTGTTGTTATCACGAAACAATTATACGACATACGCCTTTTTATTTTTATGTTTTTTTTCCCTCCCTTCTCTCTCTCTCTCTCTCTCTCTCTCTCTCTCTCTCTCTCTCTCTCTCTCTCTATCTATCTCTCTCTCTCTCTCTCTCCTTGAGTTTATCTCTCTTTATCTTCTCAAAGCAAAATACTTCAGCTACATGTTGCGATACTAATCGTTACATAGATCCTTACATGGATTAAGTGAATAAAATTTCGTAAAAAAAAAAAAAGAAAAAAAAAGAAATATCTTCCACATTTTACATGTACATTTATCTACTTTGTAATTTATTTACAAGTAATTTTTGATAAAAACCTTTATTTCTTTTTTCTTTTCTTTTTTTTTTTTTTTTTTTTTTAATTTTCTTTCTTTCTTTTTCTCTTGGCTTTTGTCAATTATCTTTAATGATATTCATTATTATCGTTATCTCAAAATAATTTTTTCTTTTTAATATTTTTAATTTAAAACAAAAAAAAAATAAATAAATAAATTTCATCAATAATTCATTAATATATAATATAAATAATATATAAAATTATAACATTAATATATAAAAAAAAAATATATATATATATATGTATATAACATACACACACACACACAGATACACGAAGTCTGTGGATTCACGATTATTATAAAAAAAAAAAAAAAAAAAAAAATATTTGAAGAAAGAAAAGAAAAGAAAAGAAAAAAAAAATTTGATAAGTAGATATATCTATCACAAAACGACCAATAAAATCGAGGCCTACCTAATCGCAAGATCAGAATAGTTTAGATATTAGAACACACCATTCTTATTATTATTATCATTATTATTATCATCAGTATTATTATTATTGCACTTTACCATACTTAGATCGTAAACAACAATGGAGCTTCGAGTAAAGTGTTGTACCATCACTATCATCATCACCACCACTATCATCATGATGATCATCATGATCATCATGATCATGATCATGATCATGATCATGATCATGGTCGTCATATAAACAGGAATACAAAACTTTTATATATACATATATATATATATATATATATATATATATATATATATATGTATATAAACGTTGAACACGTATATAAATTATATGGATTCACGATATGAAACATATCGGTTGATCTTTATATACCAGAATACATACATACATAAATACATAAATACATACGTACATACATATAGATTTCTAACATTATCAAATATAAAAAATAAAGTACCGAACGTTAACAAATCAATCATATTTAATGGTTCAATTACTGTGTTATCCATGTGGATAATAACAAACGAAGTGGAAGGAGAGGTTAATTCTATTTAAAAAAAAAAAAAAAGAAAAAAAAAAGAAAAGAAAAGAAGAGAAATAAAAAGATTAAAAAAAAAAAAGAAAGAAAAGAAAAAAAAAACTAAATAAAAAAGAAAAAGGGGGGTCGGATGATGGGGTTAAGGAGGAGGAGGGGGCGGCGGAGCAGGGGGGGGTTTGGGGTTGGGAAGAGGGTGAGATATAAATATATATTGAAGGACGTGTTTTGTTAATATCGTCACGAATATATATGTATGTATGTATCTATGTATATATCTATGTATGTATTTATGTATGTATGTATGTACAACAATGGAGGTTGATACTTTGTGCAGACGGCAGATGGTTAATCATTGTCGGTGGATGACCGTCGAAGGTCACGAAACGACCGCGTCGGTTGGATTATATTAAAGGTTACAACATGATTGCACCCTCGTACGGGACAAAAACGATTCGTATTATCGAAACCTTCATTGTGATCTATGTATCCCGATAAAGTATCATCGATTTAATATTTATATTTCTTTTTTTTTTTTTGTGTGTGTTCTTTCTCACTCTCTCTCTTTCTCTATCTCTCGCTTTTTTCTTTCTTCTTTTTTTTTTTTTTTTTTTTTTTTTTTGTTTGTTTATATTTTTATTTGTAATACTCAGTCGCAACTCCTCCCCACCCCTATCTCGTCACAATGAAATGTAAATGAAAAAGGGAATATTCGATAATTAAAGAATACGTGTGTATATAAGTGTGCCCGTGTATATATGTCTACGTTCATTATTATTAATAGGTACGAAATAATTATTTTTAATTTTTTGAGATATATAATAAATTTTAATTACAAGGAATTATGAATGTAGAACTTTTTTTTTTATATAGAATTATGAATAGTGAATTTTTTATATGAACGTAATATTTTATATATAATATTTACGTTCGCATGATCATTGATGTATTTATTATTATCGATTAAAATGAAATATTTATTTATAATTTAAGAAATATATATATATATATATTTTTTTTTTTTTTTTTAGAATTATATCCAGAGAATTAAAAAAAAAAATATATATATATGTATATATATACATGTATATATTTTTTAAAATTCAAATCAAAATAATTTTAATAATAATAATAATAATAATAATAATAATAATAATAATAATAATAATAATAATTGAAAAAATGAATTTTTGAGGTGGGGTGGTGTGCTGGGATTCGTTGAAGAAAAGGTTAAGCCCTTAAGATTCCGATTACATTTTTTCTTGTCTTTTTTTTTTTAATTTTTTCTTTCCCTTTTTTCGTTGTTTTTGCTTTCGTTTAAGAGCAACTCGAATCGCTGCTCTTATTTTTATTTTAAATAAAAAAAAGAAAAAAATAATTTTCTAATTTTAATTTTCTCTCTCTCTCTCTCTCTCTCTCTTTCTCTCTTTCTTTCTCTTTCTTTCTTACAATTCGATCCTAATGATCGTAACACCAAAAGATTGACATAATCGATGGTAAATCTTTTTCATCTTTTTTTCTTTCTTGCTCGTACTTTCCTTTTTAGGATTTTTTTGTTTTGTTTTGTTTTCTTTTTTTTTTTTTTATTTCTCGTTTTGATTTTAAAAGGGCAAAAAATGGATGGATATTTCGAAAATGATTATTCGTGGACGATTTTCTGCACGATTTTTCGTCGAATCAAAACCCACGAGGCCTGTGTGGTCTTCTTTCAGCACGCACGTATTCGGCAGACATTTTTTTTTCTTTTTTTTTTTGGTTTTTTTGTTCATCTTTTCTTTTTTTTTTTTTTTTTTTTCTTTTTCCTTTTTAAAGAAGGAAAGACAGAGACAGACAGAGAGATAGAGAGAGATAGAGAGAAATTTCGTTGCTTCTCAACACGAAATATTTTTTATGGATAAAAAAAAGTAAAAAATTAATTTTTATTTATTTATTTATTTATTTATAATATCATTGTTATGTTAAATTTAATAAACAAATGAGAGAAAATCTGATCGATAGATTTGATATTAATCGATTTTTAATTATATATTTTAATAATATATTCTCTTTTATTCTTTTTCTTTGATAGAAATATTTTCTGAACGTTTATACTATAAAAAGAAAAAGAAAGAAAAAAAAAAAAAAGAAAAAAGAAAAGAGACAGATAGAGAAACAAGCGTGGGACGGACGAACGAAAATTTCGAAATTCGAATAAAAATTTCGAAATATTAAAGTCCTAATAAAATTAATGTTTAAGAAATAGAGAAAGAAAAAACAAAAGAAAGAAAAAAAGAAAAAGAAAAAAAGATTAAATATCGGATGTGATGTTCTATAGTGTCCGATCGTGGGGATAAAGAAAAAACATGAAGTTAGGATAATATTTATCGAATAGTTTCAATTATAAACGGAACTTTAAAACAGACTGTTTAACTATACCATTAACGTAGTAATAGTAATTATAGTAGTAGTAGTAGTAGTAGTATTAAGACTTGCACGTATGTATCTACTAGGAAGTTTAGCCCTTAGAGTAACACGCAAGAGTTTATAATGTAATACACACACACACACACACACACACACACATGATCACAAGATGTGTGTATTATGTTTTTCTTTCTGTTAATCAGCTTGGGTTGTGAACTACCCTTTTCCTCCCACCCCCACTCCCACTCTCACCCAGTCTGTAAACGGATTAGAATGAGAACATGTTTGCGAACTTTTACGATCGTAACGACTAGCTTATGTATATTTATCGATGTATTTGACACCCACACATCCACACATACATATATATATATATATATATATATATATGTATATATGTATGGATGAATAAATCCTAATAGCTCATTGGTTGTCTCGTTATGGCTTCATATATACATATATTATAGAGATCAAATGTTAAATGTCATTCAATAACAATTTCTTGATTTATTTTCTTACCTTTATATATATATATATATATATATATATATATATGTATATATATATATATATATATATATATATATGTATAAATACGTGTATTTGAAAATTTTGTTGAATCGACAAGTTTTTGTTATAAGAAAGAAAGAGCAAATGAGTAAGTGAGTAAGTAAGAGAGAGAGAGAGAGAGAGAGAGAGATAAAAATACTTTATTGGCGATAAAGTCTAACGGTAAAATTAAAAGGTGGTAATGGTGGTGATGGTGGTGGTGGTGATGGTGGTGGTGGTGATGGTGGTGGTGGTGGTAGTTGATGGCAGAGGTTGGTATGAGGGAAGTTGGATGAGGGTGGGTTGGAGGGTGTAGTGCTAGTAGAGAATGAGGATGAGGAGAAGAAAAAAAGAGAAGGAATAAAACTTGAAAGAGAAAAAGAGAGAGAGAAAGAGAGAGAGAGAGAGAGAAAGAGAGAGAGAGAGAGAGAGAGAGTTGGTTTTTTATTTTCTTTTTTTTTCCTTTATTGCAGATGCTGCGGTCGGACAGTGTACCATCCTCTGCATCTGGGCGGCAAGATTGCACTCCGATTATGGTGAGTTAAAATCCCCCCTCTTCAAATAAATTATTTATGATGGTCGAACGTATCTCGAACGTACGATACACACACATACACACACACACACACATATATATATATATATATGTTCGATTTTTATCTCGACCACGTATCACGATAACTTTTTCTACGAATTCCGAATTTCTACCTTTGGCAAAATCGGGAAATAAATATTGTAGAGACGAAAACTGTACGAAATGTAAAACGAAAGAAATTTGAAGTATAAAACGAAACGAAGCATGGAAAAATAGAAAAAAAAAAAAAAAAAAAAAAAAAAGAAGAAAAGAAAAAAAAGGGAAATCACTTAATTTCATTTTTAATTTTCAATTTAATTTTAACGACAAAACGAATTAGAATATTTTCGTAATAGAAAAAAAAAAAAAAAAAAAAAGATAGGAAAAAAAAAAATCCTCGAAAGTAATCCCACCCACGACCTCCCTCCAACTTCCCTCTCAATCTTTCTTTTCAGCAACAACAAAAAAGAAAAAGAATCTGCTCAATAATTTGCTCGCGTCCTCTTAACAAACAAACGAACGAAATCAAAAAAAAAAAAAAAAAAAAAGGAAGAAGAACAAAACAAACGAAAAAATGATGAACGATATACGAAAGTATGAACGAAAGAAATATAATAAATATAATTTTATTTGTACGAATAATTAATCCGAATAATAGTTGGCAACAATTGGTGGTTATAAGAGAAGAAAGAGAGTGAGAGAAAGGGGAGGAGAAGGAGGAGGAAAAGGAGGGATGATTAGGTGAGGAGTGGAGTGGACGCGGGGGGGAGGGAAGGGAAGGAGACAGGGTCAATACGAGAGAATGAACGTTAACGGAAGAATCATTGGCTGGTTTCCGGTTTAAAACCATTTTGCCCTTGGCTCGATAAATGGCCGACAAAACTCTCATCTTTAACCATATCATTTCTGAACTCTTCCCCAATTACGATTCTTGACTTTTCGATTTTCGATCCCTTAGGTGGCATAACTGGCAATAGCCCGTTTTATCCCCTCGAGAAATAGACAGAAAAAGAGGCAAAGAGAAACAGGGGAGGATGGGTAAGAGAGAGAGAGAGAGAGAGTGAGAGGGAGAGGAAGAGAGGAAAGAGAGGGTTGATCCTTTTGATCTCGGAACAAAAGGAATATCCTTTTTACGAACGATAATATCAAAAGCATGCCGTTGCTTAGCAACACGAAACCATCCTACGACACGACATCCTCTCAACCCTCAGCAATTATAGGCTTTTTTTCTTTTTTTTTTTTTTTTTTTTTTCTCTTTATGATCAAGTGTTTCCTTTTTCTTTTTTTTCTTTTTGTTTTGTTTTGTTTTTTGTTTTTTTTTTTTTTTTTTTTTTTTTTTTTTTTTTTTTTTTAGTACCTCTCATCCACCCCCAATTCATCATCCCTTCATCGTACCTTTTTGATATTTCTTTCGTTGAACGAGTAAAAAATTTATTCACTCACCGATCGACCTATCTAGGGACTTTTTTTTTTTTATATTCTTTTTTGTAACGCACGCACATTTTACGCGCGGGATGAATTTTTGTTAATGCGATTTTAATGAAATTTGTTTGGAGTGATTAATCGATTGTTTACAACAGCCGGATATTACTTTTTGGTATTTTTTTTCTTTTTTTTTTTTTTTTTTTTTTTTTGTAGGATGGCTTTTTAATTGGTACAAGATTTTAATTGGAGTTTTTTTTTTCTTTTCTTTTTTTTCTTTTTTTTTTTTTTCTTTTTTTTTTTGTCGGAATCGTTTGTATACCCTTCTTTGACTTCGTTCCGTTCCTGGAATACTTGAAATGATTGCTAGTCACGGATTGTAATTTTGTAACTGTAATAATAATCTCAGTTACGTCGTTCTAATCAAGATAATTTATCCAAGGTCACCGTCGAAGTCACGAATTCAGCGAATAACATTTATATTGAAATAAAATAAAAACTTTGATTCGTAACGGAGATGATATGATATTTACGATCCAATTAAATGACTCGTCGTAATTTCAATCATTCAGAAAAAACAATCGGAATGTTAACGTTATTCATTCATTAATTCCATAGTGAATTTCAAGCAATTCATTCGATTATTATTTATTTATAATATTACTTGCAATTTGGGTTAGACATATAATAATAATAATAATAATAATAATAATAATAATAATAATAATAATAATAATAATAATAATAATAATAATAATAATAATAATAATAATAATAATAATAATAATAATAATCGCAGTCATATTTCGTTGATAATTCATTCATAATACAAACGTGATTTACAGTTATACTTTGGTCAAAAGTCACGCACAAATTTTTTCCATTTTTTCTTCATACTTAAAAAACAAATATAAAAGCAAAAGATCATCGATAAAATTCCTTCATATTAAATATAATTTTTGTGACGATTTTATCACGATTTTGTATAAATTTTTGATGAATAATTAATCGTATAACCAACTACAGCGCATCTATTACATTTCTAACAAAAATATATAAAAAAAGCTTACCTAATCCATTTCTAAAAATAATTCGATATTCCGCATATGAAAAGGGAACAAGAAATGTAAAAAAAAATTGATTGTCTCTTGGTCATCTGATAGAAAAAAAAAAAAACAGCTGACTGATATACCTTAAGAGAAACACGTGTATGGATGGGGAATGAAAATACATGGATTATTAAACACATTCATTTTAATCTAAATATTTATCTCTCTCTCTCTCTCTCTCTCTCTCTCTCTTTCTATTATTTTTATTGTCATCTATCTGTCATTTAGATGATAATATCTGTAGAAAAATCAGGCCAAGTGGATGATTAAAACAGGGTTGATATTAACAGTTGTGCGATTTAATTAAACATTAACAACGACTGTTACATTAGAAGTAGGTTAAATAATCATGCATATAAAATGATATATAAATGATTGCTATTGAAGTAACCGCTAACCGCATTCTCCACCTTCCAGAAAAAAAAAAAAGAAAAAGAACAAGAAAAAAAAAGCAAAAGAAAAAAAATCATTTTAGCGAACATAGAAGAGCAATTTTCATTTTCATAGTCACCATTTTAAAGCAGGCAATCTACGATCTTGAAATTTACTCTGTGAAGGAATACTCCAGCTTCAGACTAATTAACGAGAGTATATATATATATATATATGCATATGTATATAAGTAACGATCTTTCACGGTTGACTATCAGTAAGAGTGGTTTATAATTTACGATTCATTTCTGGTTGCCCTCTTCTTAACTCTGTCTGTCTATCTCTTTCTCTCTCTCTTTCTCTCTGCATATATGTATGTATGTATGTATATATATATATATGTGTGTGTGTGTGTCAGTGTCATTTCGTTTAGCATAATCCGCAGACGCGAAGTATAATTTTTTTTTGCTCTATAATTTCTTTCTGAATAGGTTTTTTTTTCTTTATCCTTTTTTTCTTCTTTTTTTTTCTTTTTTCTTTTTTTTTTTTTTTTTTTTTTTTTTTTTCTTTTTTTTTGGGTTGTCTCGAGACATCACAGGTGACATGTACACCATCTTCCAATAAACGCTTGGCGTGTGATAATACTGCATGGTGTAATTTATTGCCACCTTGTTATTACACCCTATCTCTCTCTCTCTCTCTCTCTCTCTCTCTCTCTCTCTGTTTTTTTTTCTTTTTTTATTTATGTATATATGTATATATGTATTTATGTAACTATGTGCATACGTATCTCGTATCTGAATACATGCGTTATTATTTATCGCTATTCACTCGCGACCAATCGTTTTGATCAGGGCACTTAATAGACCGTACATATAGTGAATCGTTAAATCAGCTTGCGGCGGCTCTTTAAAATGCCATAGGAATATAATAATGAAGTGTCAAATCTGTTTTACTGCAATCTTGTCGTTTGCTATTAACTATATAATGGTACGTATATTTATATACGTATGTTATAATTTATTCCTCTTTATTCTTTTTCCTGTTTTTCTTGTTCTTTTTTTTTTTTTTTTTTTTTTAGGAGATAAATTTTTTTTTTTTGTTCGGAGAAAATAATATTAATAAGGATTTGAGATGAGACTTAATTTTTTTTATTTCTTTTATTTTTCTTTTTTTTTTTTTTTAGAGTTATTAATTAAAATTTTATATAAGAAATAATTAAATGTATGATATGAATTATTAAACGTGATTAGAATGATCAAATGTGACGATAATAATATACTGAGTTTATTAGAATATTATATTGTTAATGATATAATAATAATCATAATAATAATAATAATAATAATAATAATAATAATAATAATAATAATAATAATGAACAAAGAATATATTGTAGAAAATATTTATAGAAAATATATTATATGTAAATATAATTATTAAATCGAATTAATATTATTTTAAACGTACAAAGTATTATTAATATATTAAATTTTTAATGAATTATTATATATATATATATATTTTTTTTTTTGTTACTATAAACAACTTTTTTTTGTTACTATTAAGTTATTATTAATATGTTAAATTATTAATGGTATTATATTATAATAGTAGTATCGTTATTATAATAATATATTTTATAACAAATATTAAAATCTATTATTGATCAACTATTACAACAATTAATTATAAATATATATATATATATGTGTGAGTAAAATTATTATTATTATTATTATTATTATTATTATTATTATTATTATTATTATTATAATAATAATATAATAAAAATTATTAAAAAAAGAATATATATATATATTTATATTAAATATATAAAATTATTAATAGAATATTATTGATAAATATATCTGAATGAATGAATATAATTAAAATATGTTTAGATAATATTTTAAATAATACGTAATATAACAAATGAAACTTATATGTCTATTCATTCTTTTCGTGACTCAACGACTTGGAATTTTCAGGACATGCGATACCAGAGCTCCGGTACAACCGGCAGTTTATTAACGTGGCACCGGTAACTCTCGCTGTA